GAGGAGGGAGCTCGGTCGGCTCGAGGCCGAGAACGGGAAGGGCGGGGCACGTGAACGGGAGAGGGGAAAGGGAGCAGGGTCCGGGTGCGTGAGTTTAGGGATTTAGGGCTTAAAGAGGAAATGAATGATTCAGTTATATATATATATATATATATTAAATCATATGCGATTTACTCGCGCGCGGCGTCGTAACAAAATGAGTATCCTCCCTAGGCAAAATCGACGCTCCGGACGCGCCGGTGCAGTCTGTTTTGTCATCCAGGGTTGCTCGGATAACGTCGTCGACAATCGGGTCAAAAACACGCAAAATTCAAATTTCACAAAATTTCGACCCGCGATCGATCGTCTCAAAATGTTTATTCGAGTCTTCGACAAGTAATGGTGCAAGTGATGTGAATTGTAGCAATCAGACGCGTCGACTCTCCGAATTGCGAAGTTTGTGCGTGCGGGAGTGCGAATTGTGCAGAAGGCCACCCTAAGACTCAAAAGGTCCTATAAGAATCTGTTTTGGGTTTCCTCATGTTGGTTTTACCCTTTTAAGTGCTAGAAGTTTTTACCACACACGTGAAACTCCAAAAGGGCATAGAAGTGGGTTGGATTTCTAAAACAAGACGGGTCCCATTTCTAAGGTTCTAAGATAGTTGAAGGGAGATCTCTAAGGCTAGATCCTAAACCCTAAGAGGAAGACTAGACCTCACTAAAAATAAGGTCAACAGTGTCGTGAGCAGTTTTTTTTTTAATTAGTTATCCAAATTTAATTTATAATTATATTTAATTATTACATAACTCCTGTCATCATTCTCGCAAACATGAACTTTTGCATGCCCTGTTAGATCTAAAAATTTTTCTATTCTTTGTCCATATCTTTCTTCTTATTCAAATACGCTTCTTTTCTCTGGGAGGGATTTCTCCCTACCCTTTATGTAGCTAAAACTTTTAATTTGATGGCATGGTGGCTTCCCTTTATGTTTTAATTAGCTGATTTTTACTTAATTTGTTTCTCCATGAAAGTATTGTAAAATCTGGTAATGATGGAAAACCATACCCTGCTTCCCATCTGGCAGCTTTGTGGACTGTGCTCTGTCTATACCTTCTTTAAGATGTTTCTTATTCAATGTATTTTACATTTATTTGAATATTTATTTATTGTATTCATGCATTACTTGCTAGAGCTTTTTATTTGAATTTTGCTCCATGCTGTCTTATTCTGTATCATCTATTGCTTTGTCATCTGTTGCTTTTGTTTTAGTCTTTTATTGGATTTTGAAACATCATGAATTTTGTTACCAGACTTTCTATTATATTTTATGTTTCAATTGGTGAAGATTCAAAGGCTAATTATATTTGTATCAGGCCTTTCTTTTAAAAAAACAGTTATATAAGTTATGTTTTTTCTAATTAAATGCTCTGTGTTAAAATTTTGAAAATTTATTGCAGGCTCAAGTTTATTTTGACATTGGTGACTGAATGTGTCAATCTGGTCTGGCTATTTTGGCTGAATCTTTTTTTTTTTCTCCTAAATTTTACATGGATGTGATGATTGATCGGCTAATTAGAGCAATTTCTCTTACTTTTCTTAAGAGCAGCAATAGTCATGTTTAAATCATTATAAAAATTAATATTACATTATCCTTGTGAATTGGTTTTAGGACGATCAGATATTAGGCTTGATTCAGGAGAAATAATTTGTTCTAACCTGTCAGTTGAATTTTCTTCCTGTCTGGAATAAACGATCTCTTTGTACCTTGTTCGTTGTATGTGATTTGAAATGCTAAGATTTTGATTCTCAAGGGATTTTGGTGGTGTTGATTCAAGTAGATTTGGAAGAGTTGGAGGCCGAGATATCAATAAGGTAGGCCTAATATTATCAAAATCTCAAAGCATATTATAGAAAAAAAAACAGTATTTATTAATAGTTCAAGAATAGACAATCCCTCTGTACCTTAATGTCTTAATTAATGGTCATGTTTCTTTCTTTATATTGTAGATACAACCGATTAAATTTGAATGCTTTGATGAGAATTCACTACTAGATAAGTGACATCTTCTTAGGACAGAAAATTCTATCAATTGTCCAAAGTTAATTGCCAATTGAAAAGCACGTTAAAGTCTTGGATTAAGCATGATTTCTCACTTAATATTATATCTCAAAACAGACTTGAACGTAGAGTGTTTGTTTTTTGGATTTTCAATAATCTTAAAATATAATAATAGTTCTTCAAATTTATTCATGGTTTCAAATATAGTTATTGTTTCTTGCTTTAGTAAACTAAATCCATTAAGCTGTCTATTGTAATGTAACAAAGACGAACTATTTTGCCTTTAATGGATTTTTTTTTTTTTCAGTCTTGGTTGCCAGTTCCATTCTAATCTTTTTATTTGCTTTTCCATACTTGTGCAATAAATTTTAGCGTGGCCAATGAATTTTATTTTTGTAAATTTTATATGTTGTTTATCCAATGTAGCGTGTCATTAAAAGAAATTTTTTATATGCAAATCTTATTTGTTTTTGGTCCAATTTAATGGGTCATTAAAAGAAATTATTTATATCTAACAACCAATTAGAGCTTTCAGATCGTTTTTACCATCATATGTAGAAATTTAATTTTACCTTTTCTATTTCTGCTGTCATTTCTTATGATTTCATCAGCATTATTAGTTGTCTATCAAGATGATTACCCTGCCTCGTACTAGATTTAACAGTTAAAGGAATTGGTTAATCATTGTGAATTGATCCTCTTTAAGTTCATGTTCATGAACTTGATTGCTTTTTAAATCATCAATTCTAGTTTTAATCAAGTTAGTTAATGTCATAGTTTTGATTTTGTTATTCAAAATTTCGACTAATTGAGTTTGCAAAGATTTTTCTTTCATGGTTTGCTTTGTGTCTTAAAATTTTGAAAAATTATTGCAGGTACAAGTATCTCTTGACATAGCTGACCGTATGTGTCGATCTGGTTTGGTTGTTTCAGTCGAATCTTTTCATCCAATTTTGCATGCATGTGAGCAAACTTCTGAGTTTGACCTGGTATTTTCTTACTTATCTTTTTTCTTCTATGTTGAAATGTTTGAGTAATGTAGGGGTCTTAGAATACTGATATTGTATTGAATGATGAGCTTGGACGTGGTCCATAAACTAGGAGAAATACCATAAATATTTTTTTTTGATAGAAGTTACATTGGAGAATATTTCAATGGCTTCTAGTAGCGATGGGCATTTGTCTAACAAAAAATAGACACTTCTATTGGTTCTAGTCTTTAACAACATTAGATACTTGTGGTCTTTTGCAAGAAGGTTGATGTTATGACCAATGGTATTTCCTTAATAATTTCATTTATAGATCTTTCCTGTGGGATCTCCTTCCACCTCTCTATTCAGACGTGTAAATGAAATGACATCAAAATCTTATTAAAGGCACTTTGAACCAAAGACTATATGATTGCATAATGCTTGAAGTGCTAGATGCTAGGTGCTAGCAAAGCATGGCACTAAAAAGTTTACCCATTTTAACAATGATGAATACTTTTGAAAAGTATAATATAATACTTAACATATTAAAATATACCACTTTAGTTGAAATAATATTTTCAACTATTATTTAACTCCAAATGCCAAAATGACAACTTTACCTCCTGCTCTATTTTTCCAATCACCAGTTATTTTTTTGTCCATCAATGCTCTTCTATCTTTTAGTCTCATTCCTGTCATCACGAAATTTATTGTAGCGGAACTAAAGTTCTTATACCTATGTTTGATTTGATATGCTTCTTAGTTAACATCATTTTTTCCACTAAATTTTGACACTTTTTCTACGTTACCTTATATCAAACATTTATCATCAAACACTAATCTATATCCGATATTTGAGATATTAGCATCCATATCTAAAATCAGGATCCCATTATTATCGTCGATGGTGGGAGTTTTGATTAATGACATTCTACATCTCATGGAGAGTCATAAGAATTGATTTTACCAGACTAGATTATGCAATTTTTAAATTAGAGAAAGTCGTCTTAGATGATTTGGTCATATTAAACGTCGACCATTAGATGATCCGATTAGGAGAGTAGATGTTTTAAATTCGACTTGTGTTAAGAAAGGCAGAGGTAGATCTAGGAAGACTTGGGCTTATTGTATTAAAAATGATCTTAATTTACTAGAACTAAATGAAAATATGACACTAAATAGGACGCAATGGAGAAAAAGGATTCATGTAGCCGACCCCACGTAGTGGGATTAAGGCTTTGTTGTTGTTGTTGTTGTTGTAGATTATGCAATTTTTAATGGTCCCTATGTATTTAGAAGACAATCATGGAGTTCTTAGCCATTTTAACTTATTATATTAATATACATTCTTCTTCTTATATCTTGATTGTGTATAGTTTTAAATCTTAATAAAAGCAATTATGTTAAAGAGGAGAGCACCTCATCACCTAGTACCTTATATAAAGTTGCTTACTTAGGCGATGCCTTTCGGAGTGTGAGGTTCTTCAATCTCGCTTGGGTTCCTAATCGAGCATTTATATTTCCTTTGATGACATTGAATGAAATATGGACTCCCTAAAAGCAACAATATGGACTTCGATGACATTTATAGAGCATCAATATTTCAAATCAACCAAGTTTGTCAAATCTTTTAGGTATTAATAATAGAATTCTGAAAATAGAAAGAAAATTGAATCACAAAATAAAATAGAGATTGTGTGGTGTAGAGCACATCATGTAAGGTGTGTATGGTTATGTGGGAGGAGAACTTTTTTTGAAGTTGATTTTTTTTTTTATATTCTTCTACTATAGTTTCTCAATTCTTTTTCTCCAGTTAATTTTCTGATTGAACATCAATCTTTTGCCCTTAAGGTCCATCACATATATTCAGTGATTTGCCGTCATAACTTGAAGCCAAGCGGAGATACTTTCAAAAGTCTGATAGTATTGTGTACAAAGATGAAAGATGTAAGTTATTCTATCGCTAACTTTAATCTTGCTCATTAAAACTGAGATTTTCACACATTTCTTGCTTTATAATATTTATTGTTTCTGATATTTTAAGCAACTTCTCGTGGATACCTAAAAGTATTGTGTACTCGTCTAATATGTAAATGTAAAGTTCAAATTCCAAGCACAGATCAAAGATGCTTTATGCTGAATGTAGAGATCGGATTATATATCCTTCAATAAATTGTTTTCCAAATGTTTTTATCTTGATATTTATGTTGCCGACATTTTTAGGCACTCTGCTCTTGTCTTGCGTGCAATGACAACTTTTTGTTATGTGGCAAGCTTGTTCTGATCTTTTCCATTTCTACATGCATCCAGAATCCTTAAGTCTCTGCATTAAATTCCAATCTGCTCTACATAACTAGTGAACAAATTAATGAGCCGTCATAACTACTGTTGGTCTAGCTAAAATTTAAATCTTCCTGTGAAATCACTCTTGTATCTCTACCTGTCAAGCGAAAAGTTAATTAACTTGACTTTCTTTTGCATCAAATCACTGTTAAGGTGAATTAAGATAACCTCCTGAAATTTATCTATCCCAATAGTTTTAAAAAACTCAACATTCCGGCTTAATAATTTAATTTCTGGTTCAAAAGATTTAGTGATCAATTCATTGTTTATCTTACATCTTTTATTTTATTTTATTTATTTTTTTGTCTCGATCATCCTTTTGTTCTGAGCATACTAGAAAGGCTGAAAACAAAATGCTCAATTTGTTTTTGTTTTCTTAATACTCGTCTGTTTACTTGAATGCCATGGTTTTGCTGATTTTAGGAATGCATTTTTCATTCTTCTTTTGTTTTTTTTTACATGTAGTACTCGTGTTTGTTAAACCACAGGCGGTGTTAATTCTTGATTATGGCCAGCTCCCTGCATTTGCCAATAATCATTTGTGGTCCGTCATTTTGTTGTAGGAAGAAAATACACAAGTGCTCCTCTTCTCATATGATGAAATGCAAACTAGGTGTCCCAAGTTATCCAATCTTACTTCAATGCAATTTCACTACTATGGGAAGAGAAGCATTGAATAATATATATTCAGTGAAAAGGATCAGGGCGTATAAAGGAGGATTGTGTGAGCATTAAATGCTGTTTCTCTCTTGGTTGAGCTGTAGCTGAATTTCTCTCTTGGTTGTGTCTGAGCTTCATAAAAAACTCTGCCTGCTCCATTTCTCTCTCTCAACAAGCCTATGCTCAGCCCATTTAGATGCACCATGCTTTGCCCTTTTTGGTGTAAGCCCAATCCCATTCAACATGAAATCCAACAATCCTCCCAATTTGTTCTTTCTAATGTCGTTTGATCAAGAAGGTTGAACATATTTCCGCCTTTATTATTGCTTTAATTTTCAAATTAGGGATTCTTTCAGTTACTGCAGAAGCAATTGACGGATTTTTTTGTTCTTTCGGTATTTCTAATAGTGTATTCTTCAAATCTAGCTGAATGATTAGTTAGTGAACTGAAAACTTGCTATTAACTTGGGCGGTTCTTTATTTTACCTAACGTTTTTACATTTAACTTTTCAATTGTTGAAAATTGTGTAATTTCAAAGCTATTGATTTACTTTTTTAAATTTGGGATGCTTAATGTTTTCTACCAGTTCTTGAATTTTGTTTGCCTATGCCAAAAGTAATTGGAAGTGATCATGTTAAAAGATAATAAGATTACTTGCAATTTGCAACTTCAGAGTTTGAAAGCAATGGTAATTAGGACTGCAATTATGAGCTTTATTATGATGATAATATAAAATAGAAAAGGGGGATTGCACATAGCACTGATTTTTTTTTATTTACATGTTTAGCACCAAAGCTCATCTAAATGCCACTTCAAATAACCATCAAATCTATAATCTATATCACATTCAAGTTCTAAACTAACCCTCCATGACCATTTTCTATCATTGCTTCAACCATAAACCCATCCGAAAACGTTTAGAAGAAAATCAGCCTTGTTATCAACCTTCTGATTTTTTTGACCTAGCCTTGTTATCACCACATCCATCGTGTACAGGCCACCTCATCTCACCATCATTTCCAATTCACATTTGCACATTTGAAGGGAACTGTCTATAACCATTTTTGGCCATGTCTCATTCCATTATCCCACCACAAAAGTGAAAGACTAAAAAGCTAGGTGGGCTTGAGTTTGGAGCCCTTCTAGGTCACCTAGCTTTGTACCACCACATCAATCCTGTACCTCTCCTCTGGACTCCTTCAATCTTTAGATTTCCATGCAACCCTTTACATGCTTGATCTTCTACTTAAAGCATCCCAATTCCACCAAAAAAATTTAATAGGTTCATGCGCAAAGGTGGATTTTTTGTCGAAGGATGGGAAGGCAAGGCAATGTACAATTGATAATCGCTACTTTTGAAGAGAACGTCACGACATCTTATCTAGTGAGGTTGTGAACTTGGAAAGATAGAGGAAACTGTGTTGGTATTCTCAATTAGGGCATTGTGGAGGCTGGTCTATTAAAGTGAGGGTCAAGTGAGAGTTATTGAGCAGTATAAGGCCTTCATCAATTGAAACAAGAATTGGTAGGTGCGAGGGTGGAGCGAGTGGGGTGAGGTTATTGACTAGGAAGGAGCCCCTATTGTTTATTTTTGTTAATAAAGGAGGAGAGAAGTTGGAGATAAAAGTTAAAGGTGTTAACATAAGCGATATTTTTGTTGTACCTAAAACATTTGAGTGTGATGCGAGTAAATAGTTTACTTTAGGATTTAGATATATAATAGAGAGGTTTTTAGCCCACTTGAAAACGGTATGATATAGTCTCATTAAAGTGTTGAATCCTTATAGCCAATGCCTTATTTAAAAAATTGTTTGCTTATACAATATTTTTGATTTCAAATATTTTATGTTTATAGATTTACTTCTGTCACACATTTGTGTAATTGATCAACATAATAATTTTAGACATATAAGGCCTCATCATCATCATTATCCTTGTCATGATCATTTAAGTTTGGTGTTTTTGAATTTTCATTTTTATTTATTTCTGCTGAGCATTGTCTGTTGAACTTATTCTTCACAAATTTTTTTGATTGACTTTGTTTATGTAGGTTTAAGTTTATCTTATTTTATTAATAATCATTTGTAATTAATTTTACTAGTTCTTCTAACAAGTATATTATAATCTTATGGTTTTTATGTGTAAGCCATGTGAGTCTAATTTCAGTTGTTACATCTTCAATTGCTATCTCTTTAATATTTTCTCCTTTTAAATTATTTTTTACTTTATGCTTATTGCTTCCTAGTTTGTTACACATCCATATAATTTTTTTTTACTTGTGGCGCATGAACATTAATGATCTTTTACAACCTACATTTGAATTGATACAATATTTCTTGCTTAATTGCGATTTTATAAAATTTATCTTTAAGTCTCAATGATATCTTTTAATTACACAATCTCTTAGAGTTCACATTTTAACTATGTAATTTTTGCTCTAGAATGTATATATTGATTTATATCTCCATTCTTTTGTATAATAGATTTAAGATGTTTAAACCTATCACACATAGGCATCACTATGATTTATTCATGATTCTGAGGTCTATAAGTATAGTTACCAAATGAGTCATCTAATTTCCTATCTTAGTTTATTTAATAATTACCCATTTTGTTGTTTCGTATTTTGCTTAAATTGATCAAATATGATAGGAATGGTGTATAATATTTGATTATTTTTTATTCATGAAGATGTGGGGGCAGCATTTTTTTGCTATGAGGAATGTATCCTCTTGAGAAGGTACAACTTCCCAAGAGAAAGGCCATGCTGACATACTAGAGAGTTTCCATGAATTTGACATTACTATCACTTGAATTTTATGATCTCTAGTTGTGTTTTATAAAAATTGTGTCATTTATTTTCACTAGTTTCAAAATTATCTCAAAACCTTGTTATATTTCAACCATTTATTTGTAACTCTAGAAGTTACATTATTATTGATGTATCCATTCTTTTGTATAATAGATTAATGATGCTTTAACTTATCATATGTAGGCATATCATTTTTCTTAATAATGTCAAATGATATTTGTTAATTGCATACCAACTAAAATTACATATAATATAATCTATTTATTATACTAATTCTATTGCATTATTTTCTATACATTCTTCCAATGTTCTAATTTTTCATGTAGTTTAATGAATGTCTTATTATAACTATTGTTAACTGTAAATAATTGAGTTAAAAAAAACGTAATAACCTACGAACTCCTTCCCCGGGCTTTATAACTACTCCCACTCTTTTTTTAACGTACACAACTGAAATCAAGCCCTCGACTCCTCTAGGCCTCAGAAAAATTGCAAGCAACCCACTTCTCTCTTTTTCACATACAAAACTGAAATCAAGCCCCCTACTCCTCTAGGCCTTAGAAAAATTGCAAGCAACAAAGACATGACAATTTTGCCTCCATGTTCACAAATCGAAGAAACCGTGCTTCTTTGTTTGCCTGCTCCACTCTATATGCAGTTGCGATTAGAACCAACGGGAAAAACAGCGACAAAATTGCAACGTACAAATACTTCGAAACCCTTGTCCTTCCCTACATCACATGTATAAATCGAAGCCTTAGTGCTTCATTTCTATCGCAGTCTTTCCATGATCTCTTATGTTCACAAAACTGAGAGCTAGAGGAGCCCTAGGCTTCATCCATCATCTTTGATACAATCATGACTGGGGCTAGCTAATAAAGCAAGGATGGGATCACAACATAAATATACATTCAGAACTTCCATCTTTCTCTCCTTTCGCTCCACGTTTTGTTCCACATCTCGCACGCAGAAGCCTTAACATCCCAATTTTCATGCCACCAGGGCTGTAAACGAGCCTAGCTTGAGCGAGCTCAGGCTTGTCTCTTGTTCGGCTCGTTCAAAACTAATTCTATTCGAAATTGGCTCGTGTTCAATATAGCCTGTGAACCTTATGTTTGTATTCAACTCAAT